ATGGTAATAAAGGAGCATGTCAGCCAGTGTGATACATTTATTGTTGGTGTGGGCCATTTAATCAGATTTGTTGACAATAAATCAACAGGCGTGTCCTTTAACTCCAACAGACTCTTTATTTAGATGAGTTGTGGTAACAACCTCACCTTACTGTGGTTACAGGACGAGCCTTCTCAGCAATGGCTGCTGGGATACAAGCTTCCTCCTCACATTCTTTGACCAGAGTGTGTTTGATGCCAACACCAGCAGCCAGACCACCTGCTGCCTTCCAAGATACAACACATAAGCCTTCTGGATTCATTTGTGCAACTCTGAATTTGAATGTGAAATGTTGACACCATCATCAGTTTGTATCTACAGTGTCAGTTACAGTTTGTACTCACCACATTGTCCAGTAGTCCCGGGTATGTCTGCTTGGTGGGGGAGCGTCGTGCCAGCCACATGCTGACTTCCCCACTGTCACTGACAGTGTAACCATTGATATGGACTCCATACCGCTTCACCCCAAAAAGACCTGTAGTGTAATATCACAGTCAGCTCATACAACACTAACACTGATGACATTATCTGTATGTATGGAGCTGCTGCAGTGCACCAAAACGTACTTGTAGCAGCTCTTTCCATCCACATCAAAGGAGGGTCTGAGAATTTTGCCATCACACTGTATTTCTGAAAGAGGAGAATACATACTGTAATAATCGTGCTGTTATTGAGAACATGGAGGGTCATTTTATTTTTTTATTTTTAACAGTCCAAGGTCCAGTCCAGTATAAGTGAGAAACTGGAATTTCGAAATCAGATTTTATGCATATGGTGGTGTGTCTTTATACTACTGTGTACTTAAGTTACATATTTTAATATTTCCAAATTTAGATTTAAAAAAAAAAATAAATTTAATCGCAGTATACTGTATCATATCGCCATCGCCATGGTTACCATGCGCATTAGCTTTCTGGTTGGCGTGAGCCATATTAAAGCACATTGTAGTAAGATAGATATATCAAAAAATTTGGTCACTACTGGCTTACTGTGCTGAAGAATGATGCTGTGTGGCTGTTTTATTATTAGTGAGTATAATTCTGTGACATTTTATGATTTACATCTACCCTGGTGGTATGTGTAACTATTAAGTCACGCAGTTAATATTCTTAAATAAGGTTATGGAGCCATTTCAAATTTTATTTAAGCCTATGAATACCTGACAGGGGCCCATCAACACGTTTTTTGCCTGGGGCCCTCCTGACAGGTAAACCTGGCCATGATAAGCTGAGTGTAGCCACGCATCAGATGAAGCCAAAGTCCCATAGCCCCTGCATTCACCTGAGCTAGAACAGTGTCTGACTTAGGCTACCTTCAGAGACACATTTCAGAATAAAGACCAGTCGACTGGGGACGGCTTGTTCAACTGGGGAAAAGCTGTGTCCCCATTTAGAAAAAAGCTGATTTTTGGTCAGTGGTTATGGTTGGGGTTAGGGTAAGTCTCCAGGAAATTAATGTAAAACTATGTAATGAGCCTAATAAATGGTCTGTATTTAATAAATTCACACACATTTACACATAGCCCTGGTGGCTGGTTCACCATACCAGTATCATTATAACTCAGTACAAGATAAGTACTCTTTTTATTAGCATTTTGTCCAAAAACAACAATTTTCAGTGCATTTGTGATTTGATTTTGGCCCAAAAAAAGGGGCAAAAAAGTAAGACGAGTCTGTGTATGTGCATGGATACATATACACGCATACATACATCCACACACACACAAACCTAAACACACACATATAGTCAATGCACTTACACAAAAATATCATTGTATAAAACAAATACATACAACAAACAGAACATGGTCTTCATCACTTATTATGTCACAGGGATGACTACATTAGTGCCACAGTCCAGTCAACAAGGAAGTCACAGCTGCACAATAAAAATAAGACTGACAGTGGAATCAGCCTTTGGTGCCGAGTTCAATGTTAGAAAGTTAGAAGAAGGGCAGTCAGCTTCACTGAGGTTCATTGTGGAGCTGTAATCTTTCTATGTGCTTAAAAAAAGGCTGCCAGATCTTAAAGAATTTAGCTGAGGATCCAGGTAGCGGGTGCTTACTTTTTTCTAGCCTACTAAAATGGAGAGCATCTCTGATCCAGGACTCATATGAGGGAGGAGGACACTTCCAGCGAAGTAAGATCAATCGTCTTGCCAGTAACATCAGGAAGGCTACAAAATCTGCTTCGATCCTTTGCAGGGTCACTGTGGTTGGCATGACTGCAAAGAGGGCTATCAATAGATTTGGGTCCAAGGTCACAGAGAACTCCTGATAGTGTCCCTAACTCTGGAGAGACGACCCAAACATTGGAATAAGAGAGGCTGGAGCTAGTTTACACCTGTCACAAGCTTAAGGACACTTTGACATGCAGCAGG